CCACCTTTATGAGGCTTTTGCCCAGAACTGTGTGAAATTTTTTGGAAAAAAATTGTTCACTTGCTGAAAATTACAATTATAAGTCAACTAAACCTTACCTAGAGTTGTGATGCACTTGTGCTGAAATCACTGAAGAGCTGGATTTAAAAAAAAAAATAAATAATTTGCAAGAACTGAGCTTTATGTCTTGACTTTGGAGCATGTAAGTAATCACAGAAAACAAAAAAAAATTGCAACCCTTCTGTTCAGTTTGGTATCACAGCATTTCCCTACTATCTTAAATTTTTAAAAATATTTAAAAGAAAAAGATATTTGGGTCAAATTTGTTTTCCCATATCAAGAAAATAATACAGAGACAACTGTACACGGGGGAGGAGAAGGCAGAGAGGAGGCTGAGCTCACATCATCTTCCCTGGGCTTTTCAGTGCGCTTGGTGAACCGTGAGGGTTTCAGTCACTGGGGTCTGATGTCAGTTTTCCTGCTTGATGCTGCTCAGGAGAGCCCAGAGGCACATGCTCTAACCCCCAGGAAGGGGACATCACTGGGATTTGCTCTCCAAGGTTTTGTGTTATGAGGGGGAATTGAGTTCTCCATCTCAGAGCCACAGAAAGGCCACAGAGACAGGAGGAGCTCAGCTGCATCGCCTGGAGGGGAGACAAGGATGGACAGTGACCACACAAGACACCAAATCCAGCTGTGAACCCCCAGCCCAGGAAACACTTCATCCAGAAGGTCCCAGAGCAGCCCTGAGCCCAGCATGGTCCCTGCCACAGTCACAACACATGGAGAGCTCCCAGAGACACTGGGGGCCTCTGCAGAGTGGAGGTGTCAGAGCTGGAGAGCAGGAGACACAAAACCAGTGCACAAAGACTCTGTCAGACTGGGGCTTTGGGAGATTATCCCTGGAACCACGTCCCATGCTGTAGAGTAAGACAGAAAATCCTGGGATGAATCCTGGGCTCACCCTGCTTGGGAGGAGGCGTTGCCCCTTCCCTGGCCCTGATGTGTCTCACAGCATCCACCAATGCCAGGGCATCCCACCAGCACCACCTCTGCTGGGAGCCATCCAGGATGGCTCAGAGAAGAAGAGGACATAGCAGAAGATGAGGCAAGGCTGGTGGCACCACAGAGGTGACACCTTGAGCAGCTCCTGTGGCACCCCTCAGAGTGGTGCTGAGAGGATCCCTTCAGGTGTGGTCTCCTCTTTTGGGACCCAGTGTGAGCCCCACTCCTGGCCAGGACCTGGGGATGTGGGGACAGTTCCTTCAAACAACCTGAGAGCAGACAGCCTGTGCCACCTGCCAGCCCTGCCTCTGCCACAGCCACAGCCACAGCCAGGCCCTTCAAAACCACAGAGCTGAGAAAGCATGAGGGGAGTATGTGGGGTGATGAGAAGGAGGCAGATGAAGGAGTGGAGTGACAAATCATTGTCACTGTACCAGGCTGAGCCCCAGAACCCAGAAGAAGCATGGAGAGCACAAGAAGGGGCTTGGGCTCAGCTGCAGAATCTCTGCTGAGGCTGCCTGCAGCTCCTTACTCTCTCTCACCCTGCCTGCTGCAAGTGAGGGAGCACTGGGCCTGATGCAGTGATGGGAAGAATTTGCTCCAAAGGAATCACCAGTCCCCACCTGGGAGCTGAGCAGAGCTAGGTGCTGCCCAGGTCAGGACAGCTGGGCTATGGACTGCAGGGAAAGACCTCCCTGAGCATCTCAGCCTCTCCTGGAGCTCCTGTAAGAACACAAAGGGACAGCAGTGAGGACAAAGGGAGAGGTGGTTACTGTCCAGCTTGGACAGTGCCTCTCCCCCATAGCCCAGCCTGCCAGTCAGCTCTCCTGGGTCACAGGAGACAGGGAGGGAGCCAGAACTGACCCTGTTCCTCTCACACTGTAACCCCCACTGGGAAGTACCACGAGCCTCCTGTGCAGAATCTCCCCCTGTAGCACTCCTATGGCTCCGTCCAGCCATGAGAGCCTGGATGCACTGGGCCTCCCGTGGATCCTGTCCCAGCACATCTCTGGGAATGGCATTTCCCTGCCAAAAGGGCGAGGAGGATGTTTTCACCTCCAGCAAATCTGTCCAAGGGGTGTGTCCACAGCAGAGACTGTAAGGTAGCAGAGCAAGCAGCATCCACAAGAGATGTGGCCACTTCCACCAGATCACCCACTCCAGGGACTGCTCACACTCAACCTCCAAGGAAGCTTTTCCCTCAGCAGGAATTGCTGTGCCCAGAGCCAGCACTTTGCTGGCAGTAGCCACAGCTCCCTCCCAGCCCAGGGAACATCCTTCTGGCAACTCCACCAACCTGTGCGAGTCAGCAGGGCCACACACACATGCCTGTGTGTGACCTGAGCAGGGAATTCCATTTCCCTCTGGCAACAAGAACCACGACCCACGGACACCACATGGGGCAACTTCAGATTTCTAAGGGGACTTTTAGCTTCAGTCACTTTGCCATGGTGGCCTGCCATGGCCAGCACCGTGTGCCTCAGGACAAGCACAGAACACACAAAGCCATGGCATGGAAACTTGTGGCACTGCTGGATGGAGGGAACGCCATTGGTGGGAAAACACACGGAGGAAGAAGACAAAAAGGTGTTGGGTGATGGGATGGAGAGAAGAGAAGTGATGTACTGTGGGTTGAAGTCCAGAAGAGCAATTCAGGCTATTCCAGCAGGGACTTGAGGGGTGAGCAGCACCAGTGGGGAGAGCAGAAAGCCAAGACACCTGAGTGCTTCATGTGAAGAGCCACGTGATGGGCCACGCAAGGAGGACACCCTGAGGTCAGAAAAGCAAGTCCTCATCTTGGACACCTCAGAAACTGGTCTGAAACTTGGCACCCTCTGGGGAGCTCTCATGAGTGGCCTCAGCAAACACATCCTCACCCACACCTCATCCAACACAGACACATCCAGCTGGGCTCCATGAGCTGGAGTTACAGCTCCCTGTCACCACCTCCCCAGTGCAAGCAGGACACTGAACAGGCCTGGTGGTCACACAGAGCTCCTTCCTGGCAGAGCTCCTGTGTCCCCTGCCCTACACTGCCATTGTCACCTTGGCAAAGTCACTTAACCACACCAAGCCTCAGTTTCCCCAGAGAATAATCCAGCCACGTCCTAGGGTGGGCTGAAGAGTGATAAGGTGCTGAGACAGCAGGGAACTCAATGTTCATGCAGAACCACTTGGCTTCCAGCCTCACACACCCAAAGGGATCTCCAGGAGAAACTACCCACTTCACTTGTGCCTAACTTTTAGGGGGAGAAGAGGCACAGGATGAGAACCATCCATTTTGTGGATCAGCCATCTCTCCGACTTCCCCTCTGGACTCAGCCGCCCACTTTCAGACTTTATCCATTGTTTGCTTGGACTTGTACGGGAGAAATCACATTAAGGAAAATCCTAGTTGAATCACAGACTTTGGAACAGTTGCAATGGACAATTTGACAAGGACATGGGGTTTTAACATATTTTTAATGCAAAAATATCTAATGATAATATGTTCCACTCCTGGCTAAAAACATTATCTACTGGCATGGGGGGAATTTAAGCCATAATGCCAGCTACTATAATGCAGGCCTGGAACTCCATGCAAATATTATCCTGATCCAAGAGCTACAAAGCTCTGTTTATCCTAGTAATTAATTCTGTCTTATGTTTAGTGATACAATTAGAGAAACACTGCCATTCTGATGGGCTGGCTTCCACCAGTGCCTTTTACTATATTTACATGCCCACAATAGGCTTGGTCTCACAGAAAAGGGTGAAATTGCATTTATGGAGACAATGCCACATGCATTCCCAAAGCATTTCAGAGATGTAAAGTTAGGCTCCAAATTGCACGTTTATTGTGTGAGCACACAATGAGCTTAGATTAAATATTGACTAAAGCCAGCCTAACACCCAAAATAATGAAGATGAGCACAATAGTGTGATTTACTCCCAGCCGCTAGAGAAATACACATCTGTAACATATAACATGCCCTTCCCACAGATATACTCTTTGTATTCTAGCTAGCCTTAGGCAGGAAAATTTCATTCTCATAAATTATGGATTTTCTTTCCCAACTGCCAACACATCCACATTACCAGTTGCAAAGCAAACAAATATAATAATAAAAAATAATAAAATAAAAAGCCATTCCCCTGACACGGTGACAAGCAGGTGACCGGCTCCTTGAATCCTCAAAGTTGAGGCAGCAAAATGGAAGATAAACATGGCTAAAATCAGAGCATCCTTTCCCTTTTGTCCCCCAAGGTGTGGGAGCCAGCAGGGAGGTGTGGACATGGCAGGTATCCTTTTAGAAAGTACTCCCAGCCCTGGCTGGGTTCAGGAAACTATCTGTCCTTCTCACGCCTTCCTCCTTGCCAGACTTGTGGAAGAAATTCAGGGAGACGCAGCCGTTAATAGAACAATTATGGTAATAACCCAGCGCTGAGTGGGGGTAACACACACCCTTCCCAGCAGCTCGACCTCTAAATCCTCTAATACAGCACTGCTTCATTCAAGATTAAAAGAAATTGTAACCCAGCAGAGACAAAAAGACCCAGGAGGCAAGGCAGGATCTCACTCGGCAGCGAAGCCCCACTCCAGTCCAGATGCAGTCATATCACTTCAGCTTCTCCGTACCATCTCCATGACAACCATGTAATTTGGATGCAATAACCACTGCCGAATTGATCTTTAAATGTAGCTTGTGTGTGTGTGTGTGTGTGTGTGTGTGTACGGCACGCTTTGGGGTAGCACTGAGAACCAGACACCACACTGGGAGCTGGAAAAATGTGTCAATGTACATCCAGAGAATGGGCATCTTCCCACACACACACACACACACACACACATATACACACGTACCGGGGAGCCTCAGTCTCCAGCAACTGAAGCATACAGCTGATGCATCAAATAATCCTAATAAGAATCAAAGCCAGTATAACTAAGCAAAATGGGAGGGGGGATCGATGTACAGTATGACAATGAGAGGCGGGGAGCTCGCATTGGCACTTACCCGAGCAATGAGCTGTTTATTTTTTGGTCCCTTCACAAATGCAGCTCCCTTTTCTCTTCAACAATCCATGCAAAATAATCTGCAGTCCCACCGATGGAGGAGTGGCCCCGTCCCTCCCCCTCCACCACCTTCCTAGACCTCCCTGTTATTGGCTTCCTTCTCCCTTCTCTGCTGCTCTCCCTCGCTCGCTGGCGATGGTTACACCTCCCAGCCTTCCCCCAAGGTGTCAAGAGACTGCTGGGGATCCAGCAGGCAGGGTGGGAGGGACGGGAGAGGGGGAGGAGGCAGGAGGCATGGTGAATGGACCAGGGAAAGGATGGAATCAAGCTCTGGCTGCCGAAGCCCCCGGCAGAGCCCCTGGAAGGAGCAGACAGTGAGTTGCTGCCAGGGATGTCCCCGGAGGGCTGGGGCTTGTCCCCCCACGGGCACCTGCAGAGCGCTGAGGGATTGCTCTGCTTCCTGCCAGCAAATCGTCACCCTGCGAACTGACACTGGCTTGAAGTTTGGGGTTGAAATCCTGCCAAATGCTCTCAGTGTCTTTAACAACTGATGCGCTTCCAAATGCAGGCGTGCAGCACTGAAAATGCCTCAAGGACCCACCTTGGTGCAGACCCCAGCACTGCAGGTTGGGCTGCTCCGTGCCTCTGGACACTCCCACCTGCTGCAGCTCCATCCCATCCCATCCCATCCCATCCCATCCCATCCCATCCCATCCCATCCCATCCCATCCCATCCCAGGCTCCATCACTGATGCCCATGTGCTGCCAAGCCGGCTCCAGAGCCTCCCCCAGCACCGTGGGCTGGACCTGGTGCCTGCTCACCACCACTGGCACATCTCCATCCTGACAGCTCCTGCTTGCAAAGGCAATGGATTCGTTCCTAATCCAGGAACCTGGCTCACCATGAGGGCTGGGGGTGTAGGGTGGGGTGGAGAGGCACAGGGACACAAGGCTTTTCCTGCTTTAGAGCCCTTTTTCTGCTTTAGGGCCCTTTTACCAGACTAACAGAGCAGTGGTTTAGGGCTAACACTGTCCCTTGGCTTTTTGGTGGCTGTAATACCATGGGGGTTTCTGTGGGTGCACAGCTGAGGGGTGGTGGGTGCTCCCTGGGTCAAGTTGCCCCGTTGTCAGTGGTCCCTTAGCCTGGGCTAGCTGGGACAGTGGCCAGCTACAAGGAGCCTTCACCCAGAGCTGGCACACCTCTGTGCAGCATCACCTGTGTCTTGGTGACACACAGGACCCAGGACGTGCTCCCTGACTGCTGCACAGGAATCTGGGCTCACAGAACCACAGAAGGGTTGGAAGGCTCCTGACAGACCAGCCCAGGCCATGGGCAGGGCCACCTTCCCCCAGACCAGGTTGCTCCAAGCCCCATCGAGCCCCTGGGTGAGGAAGAAGGGTTTGGTGTCCGCCCAGATGCATGTTCCTGATTCCAAGGATCAAACCTCTCCCTAGACCTCTGTCTCCTGGAAAACTTCCTCCAGGGGACACACATCACTGAATGAGCAGCCAAATCCCTCACATCCCAAATTAAAAACACCATTACAACATACAGCCATGCATCCCAACACTGCAGCACAGCCACCAGGTGCAATAATGTCCTGGAGCAGCTCAGCAGAACACAGCCAGAGATGCCTCCAGCAGGGATACCCCCAGCACAGCACACGGACAGGGTTGTTTGCCAGGGATAGTATCGGTAATGAACCATGTAATGAGCCACCCTGCAGCTATACTCAGGACTTTTCCAACAAATGGGAGCGTGAATGAAGGTTACTGTGCTGGAGAGACACAAAAATGGATCTTGTGGCCACAGTCAAGAAGCTGGGCAAATCCAGGTGTGGGGCTTTTAACCTCCTACAGGGTCCCTTCATCAAAGAGGTTTGATTAACACCATCATAAAAGTGTGTCCTGCTGCTCTTTCTGATCAACTCTACTGTATCTGTAATCAAACAATTATCAGGTTAGGGTGCTTTAACAAAAAAAAAAATAATTAAAAATTTAAATATAAAAGCACAATCAATATTTATCAGTCTGTTGTGCTGTTCAGTTCTGAAGGCAAGGAACAAAATCCAATTTCTGCGCAGCCAGTCCTAGGAAATGACATTTTGCAGCATGAGAAAACGAGGTTCTAGTTTCTAAGAATACATTCACTAGTGGGTTCCAAATAACTGTGTTATCAATCATTCTGCATATCAACAGCTGGATTCAGGGAGAAACCTCCTCTCCTCCCCTTGGCAGGGTAGTGAGCCTGTCCCAGGCATTGATTGGGCATTCCTAACAGCAGCAGTGCACAGAGATTTCTCCTGCTACATCTCTGTCAGGTGCCTCCAATATGTCATAATATTTTCTTCCAATTAAGAAAACTCCTAAACCACAGCAGCTCTGTGCGTGCTGCTGAACTGTCTGGGTTTTCTGCCACCTGTGACACGAGTTCTCTGAGGAAGAGGGAGCATCCTGAGGCAAGGACACCTTCCCTCCACACCAGCATCAGGGGAGCTGCCCCTCAAGCCCCACACAAGTCAAGGCAGCCCTCTGTGAGCCTGCCAGGCAGCAGGGAACTGCGAACACCTGCACCATCCAGACCATGGGAACGCTCCAGCTAGGCTCACGGCACGGGGGGACACCTGGAAAAATGATAGGAGCACATGGGTGAGAGGGTTCATGTTCCTGTGGCCCCATGGGATCCACCAAACCCGAGCTCCAAGGCTGGCAGCTCCGCAGACTCTGCTCCCCCTTTGCTCAGAGTGGAGAGGACAGGACCACTTACCCTGCAGCCCCACAGGGTTTATTGACTTCCCTCACCATTTAAATAGTGCCTTGACTGCAGCTTAATGCCCTTGCTTGAAGTGCTGAATCCCCCTTGCAAAGAGTTTTCCAGCTCTTGATGCTTGGTGTGGCACACAAGGACACTCCTGGGTGCTGCTCAGCCTTCTCAGTTTTTATTATGAGACCATCATTAATGTTCTTTTGTACCCAGGAATGAGCATGTGTCCATGTCCAGCTGTTTTTCTCAGGAAATCCCTTGGATTTCCCAGCTGAGGGTCACTAACTTTCAGCACAAGCCACTTTGATGGAAGCCATAATTAGGAGAAATCTGAGTGAGGGCCTTGTTGCACACAGGTGTGGGCAGGGGGATGTGGAGGGGGATAACAGCCCCTCTGAAGAACAAGGGCTGGGCCTTGAGAGCCTTTGTCTGCATTTCTCTCACACTTAAGATAGGTTTTTTGTCCTGGCTGATGTCTGTCCTTGGAGGTAAGGTGTGGTCAGAAAGCCCACACCTGGAATTTCAGCACCCAGCTGGGCTGTCACAGGTGTAGGCAGAGAGCTACACCAAACACCTCAGGCTGAGGCTCCTTAACTCACAGGTGAAACAACTCCAATCCCAGGACCTGTCTGGGGTCTCCCTACAACCATTGCAACTCTTCCTACACAGAAAAGCCCAGTGACTTCAAGAATGTTTTCCTGGGAGTTTTTCTTTCCCCCAGGCTGTGACCAGTTTTCCTTGTAACCTCCTCCTGGACACACATTCAGGTGAAACCTCCATAGGGGTCTGGTTTCCTACACCACAGTTCATCCTCTGAGCTCCTCAGTAACTTTCTGGCTGCTGGGCCAGGAGACAGAGTTGAGTACCAGCCTGGCCAGCACAGCCACCAGAGCCCTCTGGAAGTCCCAAGAGGACACTGTGCACTCATCTCCTGTGCAGGGATTGCTCACCTCTCACTCACACTAAAGAAATCTCCATGTGCCACTGAGGTTTTTTGATTCCCTGCCCAGTGTAGGCACTTCTGCCTGGGAAATCCCAGCCTGGAATATGGGAGTCATCATTCCTGGCATTTCAGGTTTTGGCAGAAGGTAAGATTGGTGGTTCTGGATGAGTACTCTGCTCACTCTCCATCTTCCTTCATAGGAACTTTCAAATGAGTCACTGTCCTCCAAAACACCATCTTTCCTCTGCCCACGGGGGTTTCTGAGTGTATGAATTTGCACTTTTCTTCCTGAGAGCCCACTGCTGACACAAAATCAGCTCCCCAAGCAGACCTGACCACTCACAGCATCTGACTTGTCCTAATTTCAGTAACATTTAGTTTATGAAAACTGCATCTTCAGCAACTGATGTGAGTGAGCGGGTTCTTGGAGGTCCCACAGGGAGTCTGGTGTTCCTCTGACAAAAAAGGGGTCTGCAGCATCTCTTCCATCTTTTATTAAACCCCAGTGCTGGGAGATCCCCCTCTCTGCCATCCATCATCTCACCTAAACAAATGCCATCTCATTTTGTTGGATTAACTTCATAGAATTGTAGGATGGCCTGGGTTGGAAAGGACCTTAAAGCCCATCCAGTTCCAACCCCCTGCCATGGGCAGCAACAGCTTCCACTATCCCAGGTACCCCCAAGTGTCCAACCTGGCCTTGGACACTTCCAGGGATGGGGCAGCTTCTCTGGGTACACCCTTCCCCAACACCCAGCTACTGTGTACTACATTCAGTGTAGTTTTTCTAGACCTAGACATGTACAAACATTTCAATTTACCTGTTGCCATTTAATGTGCTGCCTGCTTACTGCTGGAGCAAGCATCTCTCCATCCCCTCAGTAGGATATGGACCCATCAGGCTGCTTTTCTCCAGAGAATCAAATCTTGGGCTGGACACTTTTTTTTTTCCCAGTATCAGAGCAGAGTCTTTACCAGCTTCATCTAAAACCAACATGCAGCATTTATTTTCTTCCTGGCATGCATGCATATAAACACACACATGCACACTCCCTAATAGTCCTTAATGCCACCAAACATCATTTTCATTGACTGCTCTTCCAGATTAGCCTCTGCATTATGTAACAGTTAATTCATTGCTTTTGTTACCAAATCCCTTTTTTTCCTGTTTGGGTTTTTATTACTGTTATTATTTCTGATTTTCTCTTCCTTCACAATGATAGATTCTTAGCTAAGAATATCTTCAATAACTGCAGAACTGTGTGCATGCTGTGGAGGAGACAGCATCTATCAAAGTTTTCTTAAGCAACCCTTATTTAGAACACACATTATTTTTTCTTGTTTTCTCCTCCAATCGCTTCTTGTTTGTAATTGTTCCCAACTTAGGAAAATTGACCACTTTCAAGTGCCTTGCATAGATATTATCAATTTAGGATCCCATTCTGCTCAGAACAAATGCAATTAGGGCATTTAAGCAACCATTAATTCTGAGTTCAGTAATCAATTCACCCCTATCTGTCCAACTGAGGCCTGATCCAGAATCACACCAAATTCCCTGCAATACTTTTGGTAACAG